ATATCAAGGGAGTACATTAAGTAAAGCGACAATTAAAAATTTCAAATATTCATTTCAAAAACTTCATATTTCAAAACTATTTATTTTAGTAATACAGTTTATATGGGACCATAGGTAGGGGTTCTATCTATAGAGGGTAAATAATCATTTCACTATTTATTATTTTGGAGAGATTTTATTTTTTCAGATTTTGCAAAATTTCTTTGAAATTGACTTTGGTTCGGTTTCGAAAATAATCTATATATAAATAAGAAATAAAAAACCGCCCTGGAAGATCGCCATCCAACCATACATAATTAGTTTCAGTCAATGGAACTAGTTGGAACTAGTTAAAAATTGAAAAGAAGTGTTAAAAAAAGCAAGATTTCAAAAACATTTTGTGGCCAAAATTGAACTCCTTTGAAATACTTTGATTTCGATAACTTCTAGAATTATTAAGATTTGTTATTTCAGACGGCTCTAATCAAAAGTTTTATTGGAGATTGTGCTGGTCAGGGTAAGATGTTTAATTGATGAGCATTGATAAACTCACTTACCACTCTGGCTGTATGAGGCCGTGCATTGTCATGCATGAGAATTTTCTTGAGAAGTTTCTTCCAAAGTCATTGGCATATGGTAACACGACAGGCTCAACAATTAAATCACGATATGTGATTCCTGTTAGAAAACTTTAAAAAAAACGAGATCGGTTTTTCGGCCTAACTGGACTCCTCCCCAGACCATAACTGTTCCACCTTGATAAGGGTGCACTTCCTGAACATGATCCAACCGAATAAGATTTCCCGGTTCTGTCCATACCCTAAGCCTTCTCGAATCCAGATGAATTCCAAAGCGTGACTCATCCGTAAAGAGAACATTGGCCCATTGTTCATTCGACCACTAAACATGATCTTGAGCCCACAAATATCGTACCTCTCGATTTCCTCTCGTTAAGGGTTCAGATCTCCAGGGGCGTCTGCTTCTTAAGTTGACCTCTCTTAATCTATTGCGAACAGTGTCAGGACTAACGGTTACATTATGTGTTTACTGGAGAATTAAACTAAGCTCTGGTGCTGTAAGAGTCGGTCGGCGTCGAGCATTTAATTGTAAAAAATGATCTTGCTGAGGGGTAGTAATGCGATGTCGCCCTGTGTGCCTTTCAGCAACATCACCACTTTCACGATAGCGTGCACTTAATCGCGGTATTACACTTTGCGTTGTATTTAATGCTCTAGCTACGTCGATTTGGCGCATTCCAGCTTCGAGCATACCCATGGCCCTTAACATTTCGTCTCTGTTAAGATGTCTACGCTCCATAATGTCGTTTAATACTAAACAGAGTTATTTGAATGAATTCTGGCCAGTTATCATAAAAACATAGCCAGTACAGGTTAAATTCGAACAATTGATGCTAGGTGCTTTTTATACATTTAACAAAAAATGCACAAACACTAGTTGTTTATTCAAAACATTTATTTTTAACTTTAATAAAATGATATCCCTAGATATTTCCGGTGTGTGTAGTTGGGCTGTTAAAATTCATCTAACAATTTCTGTCATTGTAATTGCAAAACATATAATTTCTCAAAAAGAAAAACCTTCCGTTGTTATTCTAAATAATTAAAATCTTTTTTTAGTTTCTGTGATAATGTAAAAACAAATTTTACATTATCACAGAAACATACTTATACGACGATACTCGTAAAAAAATTAAAAATATAAAATAAAATAAGATTGTCTGCGAATTATAATATAGGCCTTTATTTAGAATAACAACGAAAGGTTTTTCTTTTTGAGAAATTATATGTTTTGCAATTACAATGAGAGAAATCGTTAGATGAATTTTAACAACCCAACTATTTTAATTCCTCCGAGTGGTTGGCAAAATGTACAGTGATTTGTGTGCCTACGCGATACGGCATAGTGTCCATAGTGCCTTATGGGTAACTCAGGTGTCGATATAGCAGTATTTACACTCAGTGAGCTACTACTGGAAATATTTTCGCTCGTTTCATTTACACATTTGGGCTGAAGATGATAATCATCGAAACTTGCAGCTTTGTCACAATTTGATTTCTTTTATTGGACTGGGATATTTTTATTCTTACTTTTTTATCTGCGATAATAATAGTGCGTGTGTGTGTAGTAGAATACAGTAGTATTCTATCGGCCTTTGGGAAATAATAATAAATAAAATTGTATAAAGCGTACCTATGGCATTGTTTTAACACAATTCCTACTGAATGTCAATTATTATTCACATTCGAGTAACATTCGATATTCATTTTGTGTCAACACAATTCCTATATTTTGTGTAATTAGACAAAAGAAGTAGGCTCCCTCATGCACTTGTCATGATAAAGACAATTTCTTTGATTTAAGTAAGAACACCATAGATAAATGCAACAAGTTTATATTGGAAAGCCCGTAAAAATTTTAGGTCGCGAAATTATTTTGGGTCGCGACCGTTATACGCGATCTGGCGCTGCTATAGCGGTCGCTAAGAACAACGGCAAACAAAAAGAGAAATCATTTTCTCTTGTCAAAGTCAGAATCTTCAAAAATCATAATAATCTTTCAAAATATAAACCGCTCTCGTTAAAGAAATTCCGAAAAGTGTTTATAGCATCCATTTTCAAAGTAATTATTGCTATCTTGTGAGTTTAATTCAAGTTTTATTTACTCCAACCGGTGGTAATTGAAAAAGTGGCATTAAAAACTTAAAAAGCTGTGCTGTGAACTGTGAACTGTGAACTGTAAAAACCATCGTGGATCGTGGCATAACGTCGGTTTCCAATGTTTCATAGGTATTTCATACATGCGTCCTTATATAAAATAAAGTTTCTTGTATACAACACGCTGTATTTTATTTATAAAATTAAAGGATAATAATAATAAATTTGAATAAACAATATTTGGCGATATAATTCCGGAAAAAGCCGAACCGCTCCGAAATTTTCCAAAGTTTTGGGTCGCGACCGTTGCAATAATAGCGCCAAATAGTGTTTACATTGTCCTTATGGGCACTTTCCAATCTAAACTTGTTTCATTTATCTATGAAGAGCACTTTCACAATCATTCATCAATCCAAAAATACTCGTTAAACCACCAATAAAAAGCAACCTAAATATAGCCACAACTGAATGTCACTAAACTTGTGGTCAATGGCGTAGCGTGGGTTAGGGGCGCCCTGGACGGAGAGCCTCTAGGAGAGAGGTTTGCCGCCCCTACAAAATCCGTCTGCAGGTACTTGGAGGGTCGCCGCCCGGGGCGGTCCGCTTCAACGCTCTCCTTCACGCGTTAATAATTTTTCTGCAATTTTATTAACATTTGAAATTGTTGCAACACAACACGAAGCGACGCCTAGTTCGAATTATTTTCACTTATTTTTTACTGCCCGAAACAGCGCGTTACATAACACAAATCTCGCATCTGAGTGTTTTATAGTCTCAATAACTTTTTTATTGTCTCAAAAAACTAAAATACTTAAATATTGTGACAAAACCACGATTTCAATGTTATTTTAATGCGATCAACATAACGGCGACTAATGATAATTTCAGATTTTTGCCGTTGAAGCGCTGCGGTCGGAATTTGTTAAAATCAACTGAAATGCACCAAGCCTATATGCAAAATTTGAAAATATCTTGTCTATAACAAATGACAAATGTAACTGTGAATGTATCTTTGACTTTATCCATAGACAAATGAAACAAGTTTAGATTGGAAAGTGCCCATAAGGACAATGTAAACACTATTTGGCGCTATTCTTGCAACGGTCGCGACCCAAAACTTTTGAAGATTTCGGAGCGGTTCGGCTTTTTCCGGAATTATATCGCCAAATATTGTTTATTAAAATTTATTATTATTTTCGTTTAATTTTATAAATAAAATACAGTGTGTTGCATACAAGAAACTTTATTTTATATAAGGACGCATGTATGAAATACCTATGAAACATTGGAAACCGACGTTATGCCACGATCCACGATGGTTTTTGCAGTTCACAGTTCACAGCACAGCTTTTTAAGTTTTTAATGCCACTTTTTCACAATTATCACCGGTTGAAGTAAAGAAAACTTGAATTGAACTCACAAGATAGCAATAATTACTTTGAAAATGGACACTATAAACACTTTTTGGAATTAATTTAATGAGAGCGGTTTAGATTTTGAAAGATTATTATGATTTTTGAAGATTCTGACTTTGACAAGAGAAAATTATTTCTGTTTTTGTTTGCCGTTGTTCTTAGCGACCGCTATAGCAGCGCCAGATCGCGTATAACGGTCGCGACCCAAAATAATTTCGCGACCCAAAATTTTTACGGGCTTTCCAATATAAACTTGTTGCATTTATCTATGACTTTATCTTGTTTTCAGAATTGAAAACGGCCAGTTTTGTCATTTATGCGACCTCTGTCGGAATTTATTCTTATTTCAACCGTTAGGGCAATACAGATTCCTAAGATAAATAGATTTGTCTACCTTTCGCCAGATGGCGTATGTAATAATAAGGTGTTTATATTAAAATTTTATTAATCTTTCTCAACGTCTTCAAAAGGATTTATTAATTTACAATTTACAAATATAAATGAAGTTTTTTTTGTATGTCGGACAACTACCGTTATACTAAAAAAATGCAGTAGTTAGTAAAATAGTATTTTAAACCGTTTGTTACCCAGATTTTACTTGAATTTAATTTACTAGTGGTTCAAAACCCCACTACTAGATGGCCCTAGTCGTTACGGAGTGAATTTATAATTTTTTTTCCTGAATACCTTAAAAATTACAATAATATTTTATTGTATTAATTGTTTTACCTTTCTATTGCGGTTAGTTGTATAAATATTATAATATAAATATACAAACACGAAGTTTATTGCAAATTAGAAATAATAAAATATTTTTAAAAGCTGCTTGGAAACACTTCGGGAATTACCGGATATGATCGGCAGGCATTCCGATAGAAATCCTGCGTTGCGATTGGCTGGAAAATCTCCCGCCACCAAAACTGCTAATGTTATTGTAGGTACCCCTCTAGCCGACATTGAGCAGGCTGTAAACGTGAAACGCTGTAAAGGTAATCGATGAGATCTCAATTCTTGAATTTTAATCGGTTTCGTTTGTAAAGTTACGCTACAGCGGTACTTGGTTCCGTCGCTGCTCGAAAACAATTTAGTTTGTGGCAAGATAGTTTGAAATCGCGCTGTTTTAAGATGGAGAAGCGTGTAGAATTGGAAAAAAGGGGAAAGAATTGTGCCGACGTAAGTATATCAAATTGTATCCATATAAATGTTGTCTCCTCGTCTAATATGCCGGATGATTTCATTGTACGTTTGTCTAGTGTGTCTGTTTCGTTGTATTTTTATTGTTGTAAATGTATTATCGGCCACATGTTAAAAATAATGCTTTTACATTTGTAAACGTGTCCATCAATCTAATGCCTTGAGGTGTACCAAGCTTTCAATGTAATAAAAGTTCTCCATTTCAATTTGAAATTATATTGTTTATGAATGAAACCAAGCAAAACATATATCAGTTTAGGAGGAATGCAAGTTTTTGAATTATTTTTCAAGCTAAAATGTAACTAACATGGGATATCTGTGTTTTATTTTCTAGCTTGATTCAATGTAGATGTGCATGTTATCTAGGCAAATGGCGCCCTTTTTATTGAAGCAGTAATTATTGCACAAATAGTTTAAATATGTATAGGAATGAATTTCTCATTCAAATTAAGTTAGAAATCATAGGAGTGGCTTTTTTCTCTCCTATCCCACTTTACCTCTACAAAAATATGGCTACTTTCAGTTATAACCTTAAACATGTTTTCACAAAAGGACATTAATCTTTTCTAAAAGTAATTTTTGTTCAGTTACGCCCACAAGCTTTGTGTATACAACACAGCAATTAGATTTAATTTTATAATATTTTTGTGTTTTTAATTGTACATACATTGTGTCTTATACTACCTTACATTTTTAGATTAAAGAACTGAACTTGGACAACTGTCGGAGTACAAATATTGTTGGTTTAACCGATGAATTTACAAATCTTGAGACTCTCTCTTTAATAAATGTCGGTCTTACATCACTGAAAGGCTTCCCAAAGCTTCCAAATTTGAAGAAATTGGAATTGAGTGATAACCGGTAAGTGTATACGTGATTTGTAAAATGCATTCGTATTATTAATACATTCTCGGTATTTTTACTTTAGAATATCGGGAGGTCTTGATGTTTTGGAAACCAGCCCAAAACTGACTTACCTGAATTTGAGCGGCAATAAAATCAAAGATCTAGACACGTTGAAGCCCCTGAAAAACTTCAAAGACTTGAAACATTTGGATCTGTTTAACAATGAGGCTACTGCGATTGAAAACTACAGAGAAAAAATATTCAAAATGATTCCAAATTTGAAATATTTGGATGGGTAAGCGCTGACAAATTAATAATTTTAATTTTCTGACACTAATTTCAAATTGTTCTTTGTTAGATTTGATCCAGAAGATCAAGAGGCAGATGACAGCGATGCCGAAGAAGAACTGAACGGAAACGACGGGTTCGAAGACGATTCAGAATTAGAAGGCAGCTCCGATGAGGTAACTACGACTTTTTATAGTTAAAAAAATATACCTACATTGTTTGCTTTTATTAGGATGGAGACCTTGACGATAGTGTAGAATTGGGTGCAGTGTATGCAGAGAATTTAGATGACCTGACAGATGAGAACGACTATGATGCTGCAGAGGAGGAGGAAGAGGATTCTGAGGGAGAGTGCATTGAGGAGGAGGAGGAGGAGGAAAGCGTCGACGGTGACGTACAATCACCCAATGGTGAGTATCTTTGAACTTGTTTTATTTAATTGTAAATTTAAGTATTTTAAAGTTCACTTAATATTGGTATTATTGGATTGGCGATGTGTATAGGGTCTCCTATTTTCGTGTGTTTTATGGGGTTTCTTGGTTATGCGCAGAGCTACAAATATGTGGTTTTATTTAACTTTTTAACATAGACGACCGGTTTAAATTAGGTAAATCAAAAAAACAAAAAAAAAATTGACCTCTAATTTTGGTTATTGAGTATTCTACGCTAGTTTCTGTGTGTAGAATGAGTGCACAAGTGCATCAAAAGTATCAAGTGTGATTGATAGGATGTTTGAAGCTGCACAAGTTCAGTTCCAGTTTATTAAGAATACACAACGGAATGGAAAATTATGTGGTTAAATTAAATTAAATAAAATAATACTCTTTTAAACTAGCTTGATTTATGTTAAAAAGTTAAATAATGTATTTTCTATTTTATTTGTGAAAATAAGTATAGAGTATAGTATATTTTTAAGATAATATGACAAAATAATAAATTAATATACAGGGTATTCAATTTAAAAAAAAAGTTTAAGTCATATTTCGAAAATGACAGCTTTTAGCGAAAAACTAGTTACGCCAATGAGTTCTACATGAAAAATTCTATGAGACGCCTTTTCTATAAGTTATAGGGTAACCAAGATACGAGGGTCGTCGAAAAATATAACATTTTTAAATTCCCTCTGTATTTCAGAAACTAAGAGGGCTAGGACAAATCTGTGTTTAGCATCTTTACTTTTATAAAAAAACTACCACAGTGATGTGAATAGTTAACTAAATATTATTATATTATATACATAAACTTATTTATAAACAGTTAAAAAAACACAAGTTTATTTTTATAAACAAAATATTAGTTTGGTATTATAAATAACCAACTTTTTACAAGAAATTACCAAACAAAAAGTATGGTCATATTGTTTATGAAACTGAAAATATGAATAATACAAAACAAGGGAAATATTCGAATATTAAACTTATTTCTAACAAAGAAATACCGGGTTCGTCTCAAAAGTGGCTCACCCCTATAACTTTTTTATTTTTTCTGATAAAAAAACGAGATTTGATTTGTTAGTATATGACATAAATTAGGATTGATTCACGTGTTCAATTGTTTTTGGTCAATTCCTGTTTCGCCGGAAATGACTACAACTTTTGATTTTTAATGGCACCCCCGGTATTTTTTTACCTTATTCGATAGAAAATTATATTATGAATAGAATAACATATTATCATATGTCAACTTTTGACATTCTCGCTTATTAAAGAATCGTATTTTAAATTTCAATCTAGAGTGCCACGGCTATGTTAAAAATACTAATTCTTAATCAAGGAGCCTTGGAAAAATAGATTTAATCGTCTAATGTTTTTAATGTCTCATCCTGGCCGGTTAAAAAATGCCCAAATCGTAGTTTTAATGATATCTCAATTTTTTCAAATGGAACGAGGGTGGCTCATTAGCATATTTGGGAAAAGAATTTTTTTCGAATAATTTGATACAAAACACTTGATATTTCGAGTCAAATTTTCGTTATGAACCGCAAGTTATAATTTCAAATAAGCCGTATGGGAAAATGTCAAGTTGACATATGATATGTCATTCTATTCAGAATGTCATTTTCTATCGAATAAAGTAAAAACATATCGAGGGTGCCATTTAAAAATCAAAAGTTGTAGTCATTTGAACATGTCAATTAATTCTAATTTATGTAATATACTAACATACCAAATCTCGTTTTTTTAGCTGAAAAAATAAAAAAGTTATAGGGGTGAGCCACTTTTGAGACGCCCCGGTATACCGGGTGTTGCATCGTCGGACGGGACATAGGAAATCCCAGGTAAATTGCAATGGGGTCAATTATTGGCTTGCCTAATTATTTTAGAGAATAATTCTATTTAAGTTTATTGAAGAGCACTAAAACCCACATTCAAAAGAATAACTTTAGATATTTTTGATTAGCTCGTTTACGAGTTATCGCGATTTCTTTTTAAATATTTCTCCTTTCTTATGGCCCTGTATTTAGTTATGAGCATCAGTCAAGGTAAAAGATAACTGTCAAATGAAGTTGTCATTTCAGAAATTTACCTATTTAGTGCTTTACTATTATTGAAAACTCATTCCTACATCGGAAATCTTAAAGATGTATTTATAAATACAAATTAATATGAATTAAAGTAAAATAAAGTAATCAATTACAAGGTTAATTATAGTATTATTACAATATTCAATAACTTATTAATTTAGGTACTATTAAATGACAACTTCATTTGACAGTTATCTTTTACCTTGACTGGTGCTCATAACTAAATACAGGGCCATAAGAAAGGAGAAATATTTAAAAAGAAATCGCGATAACTCGTAAACGAGCTAATCAAAAATATCTAAAGTTATTCTTTTGAATGTGGGTTTTAGTGCTCTTCAATAAACCTAAATAGAATTATTCCCTAAAATAATTAGGGAAGCCAATAATTGACCCCATTAAAATTTACATGGGATTTCCTATGTCCCGCTCGACGAAAATATTTTTTTTTAAAATACAATATTAATTGACATTGTATACCACATGATGAGAAAATGCAAAGCTAATAGCCATTTATAATAATTAAATGTTTTTCGTTATATGAAATTAGAATTATCTTTGAAACAAAAAAAAATAACAAGATAGTTTTGTATATTTAAAAAATTTTTGCTTTTTATTAAATGTTCATATAAGTTTTGTGATCCAGTCTTTTTCAAATGCTTACTATTAGTGCGGGTTTACATGCCTCTGTCATGCGTCGTCCGTTATTGATTTTATGCAACTTTATTGGTTTATTTGAAAAATGACAGATATCCATAACTTAATATCATTGGAAAGGGTTAAACGCCAGCATTTTTTAAGTTCATAGCCAACTATGATGTCCATTTAAAAATTATATTTTTACTTATTTCTGGAAAAAATACCAAGTATAGATATAAAATGGCAAGATAGCTAGGTACCAAAGAATATTATACGCTCTAGAAGTATCGTCTCGCATCCGACATCGGATCTGTCTATGGGTCTGGGAAAATACTTGCTCTTTATTCAGTACATCTTATTGTAAAAGCAATAAGCTTATTGACTATTCTTTATACACACCAAAGTTTGCACTCAAAGCCTGAAATAGTGAGTGCTATAACCACTTAGTCTGACCCCCTATTTCATATGCTTGGGAACTTTGAATAAGAAGACTAAGGAAGGAGCATATCAAAAATCTTAGGTCCACCGCGATGGGCCTCAAATATGGCCGACTTAAATTCCGGTTTATCAGTGCCGTTCTAATTTTATTGAAAAAATGTAAAACTATGATGTAGGGTAGACGTGGGGTAGACTCAATAATTTTTTTTTATTTTAAGTTGTGAATAAATGTTGGTAGTTATTAAAATTGTTATAAAAATATAAAATTCTAATGAAAATAGATAAGTTATAATTATTTATAACCATAAACATCCGATACGCTACTGAAGCAGGTAAATCTGGTAAATCTAACATCTAATTTTTGACAAGTAGTAAATACAAGCAAAAATGCAAGAAAAAATATATAATTAGTTAATTTAAGTGAATTTCATAAATGATTGGTTTACTACACGTATGTACTTATATGATACAGGGTGTCTCAGATTTTAATCGGGAAAATTTAATAGACGATTGAACTGGCAAAAGTAAAACAAAAAGTTCATATCAACTTGTAAGATTTAAAGCTTCCTTTTCGAGATACAGGGTGTTAAAGTTACTTAAAAAAGAAAAAAAAATTAAGATATTTGAAAAACTATTTAATCGATTTTGATATAACTCGACCGGTTTATAATAGTTACTATGGGACTTAATTTGATGTAATTAGATTTAAGTTTAATGGCCAGGGGCGGCGGTGGGGCATCACTGTTAAATTATTTTAAAAGAAAAATAGGCACGCCACTGCTTTTTTAGAGGTTTAATATTATTTTTGGATTTAGTAATTAAAAATATTATTTTTTTGTCTCCTGACTTATTTGTCTATCTCGCTTACTTCTTGCGAAAAAAAATAAATTCATTTATTCACTCCACCCTGGACAATAAATTAAATCATAATGGTTAGGTTATAGACAAAAAAGTCAGGAGACAAAAAGATAATATTTTTAGTTACTAAATCCAAAAATAATATTAAACTTCTAAAAAAGCAGTGGCGTGCCTATTTTTTCCTTTAAAATAATTTAACAGTGATGCCCCACCGCCGCCCCTGGCCATTAAACTTAAATCTAATTATATCACACACAAATTAAGTCCCATAGTAAGTATTATAAACGGGTCAAGTTATATCAAAATCGATTAAATAGTTTTTCAAATATCTTATTTTTTTAAGTCACTTTAACACCCTGAACTTTTTGTTTTATTTTTGCAAGTTCTATCGTCTATTAAATTTTCCCGATTAAAATCTGAGACACCCTGTATAGTCACTTACTGGACAAAAATTGTTCCATTATTTCACTCGATTTTTGCCGAGATCTACCGCACGCTTTTAGAGTCTTTTTCGATAAATCGCGATAGTGTCACTGTTAATTTAAGTTCTCCCCCAATTTCCATCTAGATTTACTACCTTTATACAACTGTCAGTAGTAGAATAAATAATAGATAACATAAAATAAGCTCCGTACAGACTGACAAATCCACAAAATTTCAAATCAAATTCAAATGTGTCAATCGTCAAACAAAACTGTCAAGGATCCCCACCCTATAGTCCTTTTTCCGCCCACCATGCATGAATACATGGATAACATTATGCTCCTTCCTTAGTCTTCTTATTCAAAGCTTGGGAAAATACTTGCTCTTTTTTTTGTGCATTACATGCGTGCAGGACATGCATGAGCAAATCGACTGTACTCTTCATAGACACGAAAAATTGGCACCAAATGCCACCTTGCCGACCTTGTATATTTTCATAATAGTATATTGTTTTATTTGGAATAAAAATGGTACTTTTGTGGCGAGGCTCTAGCGAGGGCGAGAAACAAAAAGTAATTCTTTCTCTGATCATGCTATTTTTTTTCTCAAACGTCAGAAATAATATCTTAAACAATTTTAAACGTTCCAAATAATATAAAAAATTTAAAAGTAATACCTTGTAAGTCTAGGCATTAAAGTTGCCTAGGTGACTAATGACTTTTTTATATTGTCGCAAAAATTAACACTTTTGTGACTTTTCTTGTATACTTAGTATAGCAAGCTGTACCTTGCTACTCCTAAAGCGTGTAAACTCTGTAAACGGGGGAGTATTATCTATTATTTTATTTGACAGAGTGTCCCAAAAAACATGTGCCATCTCTTGTGGGGGGATTCTTCACATAAATAATAAAGATAAATTATCTTTTATATCCATATTCTTTTTCAACTTAATTTTTTTCGATTTATTATAATTTTCTTCTAAGTGCTTGAGATTTGAATAAAATTTTAAGGGTAAAAGTTCCTAGCAAACGAGATTTGGTATGTTAGTATATGACATAAATTAGGATTGATTGACGTATTCAAATGTTTTCGATCACTTCCAGTTTCACCGGAAATGACTACAACTTTTGATTTTTAAATGGCACCCTCAATATTTTTTTGCTTTATTCGATAGAAAATAACACTCTGAATAGAATGACATATCATATGTCAACATTTGACATTTTCGCATACGGCTTATTTGAAATTATAACTTGCGGTTCATAACGAAAATTTGACATGAAATACCAAGTGTGTGGTATCAAATTATTCATAAAAAATGCTTTTTCTAAATATGATAATGAGCCACCCTCGTTCAGTTTGAAAAAATTGAAATATACAATACGATTTGGGCATCTTTTAACCGACCAGGCCAGGACGATACACTAAAACATTAGACGATCAAATCTATTTTTTCCAAGACTCCTTGATTAATAATTAGTGTTTTTAACATAGCCATGGCACTCTAGATTGAAATTTATAATACGATTATTGATAATGTCAAAAGTTGACATATGATATGCCATTCTATTCAGAATGTCATTTTCTATCGAATAAAGTAAAAAATACCGAGGGTGCCATTTAAAAAACAAAAGTTGTAGTCATTTCCGGTGAAACAGGAAATGACCAAAAACAATTGAATACGTCAATCAATCCTAATTTTTGTCATATACTGACATACCAAATCTCGTTTTTTTTAACTGAAAAAATAAAAAAGTTATAGGGGTGGGTTAGGCCGCTTTTGAGACGCACCCAGTACGTAGGAATGAACTAGGAAGTGCTATAAATTTATTAAATAAAATTAATAAATAATTTATTAATTTTATTTTATTTTAATTTTATAATTGTGATTAATAAAATTGCGTTTATCTCATGAAGCAGATCGAAATTGACAAACTATCAAGATACATCTTTTAATCGGCCTTAAACGGCCCACAGAATTTTGCTAACAAGAGAAAAAAGTGAGTGGTCAAGTTTTTTTTAAGAAAAATTGTATAGGACCTATGCAGTGATGCCAACTCGTGGGAAAATTTCCGATTCGTGGAAAATTTCAAGATCCAGAGAGAAAAGGAAAATTTTAACCCAAAACACTATATTCGTGGGAAATTCTAAATTTATATATTATTCGTGAAAAAAAATAGTTACCATTTGTAATTTTTAATATTTTTAATTAAAAAACCATAATATCTGTATTGTGTTGACGACACTATACTGGATTTGAGAACTCGGGGGAACGAGGGGTAAACCGCAGAGGAATTATGGTGTACACTATGAAGGAATTCTACAGGAATTCCAAGGAATTCCAATTATTTCCGTAAGAATTCCAATGAATTCCAAGGAATTCCTTAGAAATTTAGAGGAATTAGACAGGAATTAAGAGGAATTACAAGCAACTTTATAAAAAATTGACGAACATTAGTAAACCATGAATACTATAATAGGTAGTACTAAATTTAAAGAAAAACGTTTTGCAGGCGATTTTTTACTATCCGTTTTTCGTTTTCGCTTCCAAAATTTCCCAATATCAAATATCTACAGGTTAGATATTCTTTTAATTTAATATTGTACCCTCGGTTATATATCTAAAATATTTTCCAATAGTACAGCCGAACCACCCCCGAGAGATCTAGTTATAACGTTTCCTGATTTCGCCATTTTAAAGAAACCCTCATAAAAATTTTTATTCAGTACTCCAGAAAGTGTAAAGTTGATTTTTTCATTTCCTCGGAATAATACCTAGGTATATACTATAGGGAAATTAATACAACTTTAGGTGCACTTCATCAATGATACCATGCGTAATCTTATGGAATTTACTGGTGATCGTATTATGACGTGCAACTGAAGTTTTATTAATTTCCTTTCCTATAGATACGAGTATAACTAGGTACCTATCATTTTCAAAAATCCCGAGAAAAATTAATTTTAATAAGTAAGTGCCGACATATTTTCAGTATTTTTACCTCATGATCCCCTATTAGTCCTAAAATTTAACCAAAAAAACGTAAATCTCGTAATAGTACTTTTTATTGTTAGATCTAGTACTTATAGAGACATTAGACATTTATAAAAATCACCAGAAAATTCATAGCGGAACTGCGAAACCGAGGTGGCAACGCTGGTTCAGACTGAAAGAGTTAACGAGTTCATACCAAGGAATTCCAAGGAAGACCTTGAATGATTGACCTTGACCTTGAAGACCAGGAATTCCAAGGAATTACGAGGAATTCTGAGGAATTATTTAAGTAAAAGGAATTATGGTGTACACTTTTCCCTCTGCGGTTTACCCATCGCGGGGGAATTTAAAAAAAAAATTTTAGACTGTCTTCGTGGGAAATTATATTTCAGAAAGTTGGCAACACTGGACCTATGTTAATATGAAAAATAAATCTTATTTTTACGCGAGGAATCTCCCAACGAGAGATGACACAGATGGTTTTTTGAAACACCCACTAATTTGAATAAATTCTTACTTTTAAATTTTCTTTTTTTTTATTAGTTTCCTAATTGATCTATTTATTTTTCAGTATCGCGGGGCAAAAAGAGAAAACTGGAGGAAGGCGAAGAGAACTAAAGGAAGGGGAACGTTAGTGTACGGACCGAGAGTGATAACATAGACAGTTTTAATTGACCAAAAAATAATAACTAATATACTGCGGTTTTCCATCGGCGGCAAGAAAGTACGCCTAGTCGCGTCTTTCCTGGCTGTGTGGTTTGTTTTTACTTTACAAAATTAAAATTAATTGTAAGATATTCCATCCGATACGCTATTGCATATACAGAAGCAGACGGGGCTCTGATTTTTTTTATAATGTTTTATTTTTTCTGACAAATTAATTCGTCGATTATCACAAAGCTATTTTTTTATTAAAGAATAATAATATATCTAGTATTGTATTACTTCTTTTTTATTAAATTTCATTAAAATTAAGCCCACGAGTCAATTGAAACGAGAATATATATAAATAAGACACACTAATTACTTTTCTTTCTATTTTTTTTTTCTTTTTCTCCGTTGTTTGTAAAATATATATTGTATGTTTAGTATTTTGTAACAAAAATTCGAAATTAGCGAGATTTTTTTTATTTTGTAATGTATATAATAGAAAAATATTTCGAGTCGTTATTTCAGAATATACTGCGATTTTTTATATATTATTATACTTCTTTTTTATTAATATTAATATATATATATATATATATATATATATATATATATATATATATATATATATATATTATGCAGAAGAAGAAAATATTTGTATATAATTCCAGCTAAATATATTTCTTTCCTTTTGCATGAGATTTAAATTAAATACATTTTATCGAAGATGATTATTTAAAAAAATAATAATTTTCTGAAACTAATATACCTGAATTTGTTAGATGTTTATATTAATTTTTAGAATATGAATTTTAGAATTGACTGACTAAATCTATTAAATGTCATTTATATAATTATATTAACTTATTTTACATAAAAAAAGTAAAATAGCTTGATTAGGATTGGTTAAATAGTAAATTTGTATATAGCAAAAGTGCAGCTGTAAAATATAGCGTATAATCGAAAAAAAAAACGGCGTCGCAGTGTTCTTTGGAATGGTGTTATGTGTAAAGCGGCCCATACATTATCAAACAAATTGCGCAACGCAGGCTGTTGCGCAACGAGTTGCCAATGTATGGTAGTGTTTGATGCGTTGCGCAATTGTTTGATGAGTTTCAAGAATGTTTGAATTCTTTTGTGCAACAGGACTGTTTGCGCAACGCGTTGTGTAGTGTGTGTGTGTTGCGCTTCGTTGTGCAAAATTTTAGTTCTTTCATCCAAATTCTTTGTTTTCTTTTTCGTTTTTGGGTATCATCGACATCTTCTAGGGTATATACGATAATAATTGACGCAATGACAATTGAGGACATGATTGTTTCTCAAACAATGCACAACTTTTAATAAAAAGTTTGATCAAAATTTTACTAAGTGCATGGGTGATGGAGTTGCGCATCGCTTTGTTGCGCAACTTGTTTGATAGTGTATGGACCGCTGAATCAGTTGTGCAACGCAGCGTTGCGCAACGCTTTGTAGCGCAATTTTTTTGATAATGTATGGGCCGCTTTATATAAGTATTTTAAACGTGCTTATCGCTATGTTTTAAATTGGTATGAGAAAGTAATATTTGAGTGAAAGAAACATAACAAAATTGAAGTTACGCGAAGTTATCATGAAGAAAATAGTTAATGACATAGGAGTCTCGGCAAATGGTCATTTTTAAGGTCACTGAGACACCGTTTTTTTTTTAGTTTTGACCATATTGTTCTGTTACCATCATAACGTATAACTATTCATCAACTTTAAGGAAATTAGGAAATGTTTTAAATGTTGGGCTCTATTTTAGATATGATTCATTTTTTAACAAATCGTTCTATTCCCTTTCAAGAATTTATTTTTGATTATTTAATATATAAAATTGTATGGGAAATGTCATCGACTGGCATTTCCAACCCAATTTTTTGGTTTAGTGTTAATACTTCTTGTGCCATTTTAATTTATTTGTTTGTTTATTTTTCTTTTAATTCTTTTGTTTAGTTGCCCGATATTTGAATTAATTTTACTCTTCTGTATCAGAAGATCTTGGCACAACAAAAAACATCTGTTTAATATAGCGTAAACTTTGCGCTAATAGCAAATTATCGACAATGTCATTAAGATTTCGAACATATCAAGCAAAGGAAAGAGATATATTTGTTGTTGAAACGGGGTATTAAGATTTTATTGACAGGCATTGACAATATGAATATGAAAATAAAATTATTTTGTTGGAATATATTATGTATCCTGTTATCTGTATCAGAGATGAGCGATAATAGATTTTACCTATCGATAAGTTTTACCTATCGATATAAGTTTTACCTATCGATAAGTAATTCACCTATGGACGTATTTTATTATCGATACATATCGAAAAATAGACCATCAATATGTACCCTTGTAACGAAAGAATGCCTATGACAAAAAATATTTCTAATAAACACACCGGAAAAGTCTAGGGATATTACAATTTTATCCAGCCATCGTCAGTAATTTTATTATTTGCATTTCTGATATAATAAAATTAAAATAAACAAATAGTTTACAGGACGTATTGGAAATAAAAATGCGAAATTTACGGAATTTTTCAAATTTACCTTGATTTTTATTGAACTCAAAAAAATACACACATTTTTTTTTATTCTAAACTGTGAATTAAAAAAAAAGATAAAACCATTTTTACTTACTAAAGGGTATGACCTCCTCTACTGTTCATTACAGCCCTACATCGTCTCTCCATGCTCCTGATCAGGTTGTCGATCTCTTCTTGAGGTACAGCCTGCCACGCTGCATTCACGGCCCGAACCAGATCCCTACGAGTTTCACGAGGCATACCCATTCTCAAAATTCTTCTTTGGACCACGTCCCATACGTGCTCGATGGGGTTGTGGTCAGGAGATTGTGCCGGCCAGGGTAAGATGTTTAATTGATGAGCATTGATAAACTCACTTACCACTCTGGCTGTATGAGGCCGCGCATTGTCATGTATGAGAATGAAGTTTCTCCCAAAGTCATTGGCATATGGTAACACGACAGGCTTAAGAATTTAACCTTTCAAGAAAAACGAGATCGGTTTTTCAGCCTAGCTGGACTCCTCCCCAGACCATAACTGTTCCACCTTGATAAGGGTGCACTTACTGAACATGATCCAACCGAATATGATTTCCCGGTTCTCTCCATACCCTAAGTCTTCTCGAATCCGGATGAATTCCAAAGCGTGACTCATCCGTGAAGAGAACATTGGCCCATTGTTCATTCGACCACTGAGCATGATCTTGAGCCCACAAATATCGTACCTCTCGTTAAGGGTTCAGCTCTCCAGGGGCGTCTGCTTCTTAAGTTGACCTCTCTTAATCTATTGCGAACAGTATCAGGACTAACGGTTACATTATGTGTTTCCTGGAGAATTAAACTAAGCTCTGGTGCTGTAAGAGTCGGTCGACGTCGAGCATTTAATTGTAAAAAATGATCTTGCTTAGGGGTAGTAATGCGATGTCGCCCTGTGTGCCTTTCAGCGACATCACCACTTTCACGATAGCGTGCACTTAATCGCGATATTACACTTTGCGTTGTATTTAATGCTCTAGCTACGTCGATTTGGCGCATTCCAGCTTCGAGCATACCCATGGCCCTTAGCATTTTGTCTCTGTTAAGATGTCTACGCTCCATAATGTCGTTTAATACTAAACAGAGTTATTTGAATGAATTCTGGCCAGTTATCATAAAAACATAGCCAATACTGGTTAAATTCGAACAATTGATGCTAGGTGGTTTTTATACATTTGACAAAAAATGCACAAACACTTCTGCAAATATCCCAAATTTAGAAATAACTAGTGTGACTACTTCGTTTCAATCGAAGTAGAAAGAATCGGCCTACAAATATGTAGGCTGTTTATTCAAAACATTTATTATTAACTTTAATAAAATGATATCCCTAGATTTTTCCGGTGTGTGTATATCTCACATTATTAAGAACTGAATTATTTTTTTTAGATGTTGACCACTAGATTAACTTACAGATGTGGCACTTATTTCATCTTGCTGATAAACGCCGCCGTATGACCTCGGATTTTTAATAGGGTTATGGCATTCCCAATTGAAATAATACTTAATCTGTGGCACAGCTTTATTGTAGCGATTCATCATATGCATGTTTCTCTGTCTTACTGATAAATCTATGTTAATCTGTAAACAACCTTTGGATTATGACAGAGAAACAATTACAAATAAAAACATTAACTTATTTTTAACTGCCAAAATACATGGTAACTTAATTATACAAAATTTAAATCATAATAAAATTTATTTGTTAAAATTTCTCAAGCAATACATTTTTATTCTCATTACTATGACTTTTTCTAATGATTTAATTTTTCTTTAAAGATGTAATTGTCCTAAATTAGTTTCTTGTCAGTAAAGTCCAGACCCGTTTATGTACAGAGTTTTCCTGCCAATTTTTCAGCTGCATTTACAATGATATCCGAGCAAATTGTAAAGTAACATAATAACCAGCCAGTATGGTTGAAACACACAAAAAAAATGAAAATGTCAATGAATGAAATATATTTTGTACAGGAACATACCTTTGTTCCACAATTATTTAATAGGAAAGTAGTTTGTAGATTGTTTCTGCATCCTCTTAAGTTATTTTCGATTTATATAATACATCCCTTATACAGTTAAAAAAAAGGTTAACATTAGTTTCAATTAGAAAATAAAACCTGTTTGTACCGCCTGTGTTTTGGTTAGGGTCGTCTTATAAAACATTCGGTTGATATATAATCAAAAAAAAAAGAATCTCCAATAATAGGAAGAATACCGCAAATGTTTTATAAGAGCATCCTTATTCAAAAATTACATTGATCTCTATGCAATAACAAGCAAGTGTTGAAATTTTGTTTCGGAAAAAATCACAAAAAAATGAAAGCATATTATACAAAATTAATAAAAAAAAAATACCTAGAGGTAAAATCTGTGCCTTGACTTTAGCAGCGTACCTAAATTTTATACGTTTGTAAAATGACTTGCTTGTTTTTGTAAAAGACGTATGTCACGTGTGACTTTTTTCGGATCCAGATCAACTTTAGCCGGCTCGATTTTTTTTTAACGCGGGACGTTATATTTTTTTATATAATATATATAGAAAATCTTTTAACGGAAGTTTTCTTTTAATGAAATAATAAATATTATGTTATAAGAGTTTAAGTATCAAAATACAGTGGTTTTAATTACACAACTTTGTCGCTTTTCTTTGTCCTTTGGCCTTTGACTATATACAGTAGAACTTCGATAGTTTGGACCAATGACTAAAGAATCTAAGGACAAATAACACCCGAGAGCAAATTGTG